GTTAGTTAGGGACGCTGGCGTAGGACAGCTTAGGGTGGGTTAGTTAGGGAATGCTGGCGTAAGCAGCTTAGGGTTTGTTAGTTAGGAATGCTGGCATAGGCAGCTTAGGGTTTGTTAGTTAGGGATGCTAGCATAGGGCAGTTTAGGGTTTGTTAGTTAGGGATGCTGGCGTAGGACAGCTTAGGGTGGGTTAGTTAGGGACACTGACATAGGCAGCTAAGGGTTTGTTAGTTAGGGACACTGGCATAGAGCAGCCAAGGGTATGTTAGTTAGGGATGCTGGTGTAGGCAGCTTAGGGTTTGTTAGTTAGGGACGCTGGCGTAGGCAGCTTAGGGTTCTTTCACTGTGTGAAATCTTGTTCTTGCAGCTACAGAATGAATCGTCACTTCCTATTAAGTTCTGGATGCAGCTGGAGAGCCTGTCCAGGAAAAGGGATGAGACCCGGCAGCAGCTACCCAAGTTCCTTACCTCCCATGAGCAGAGGACCGAAATTGTTGGTGAGTTAACTAACACACTGTCAGGAACCACAGGGGTACAGAACCATGAGGAGATATGTGCTGGGAAATGAGGGTACTATGTGGCGTGGAGCTGGGCAAGACAAATCATGAAGACACCGGGCACAAAGGAACGCAGAGGGCTGTGAGCTCAGTGGAGCAGTCCTGACAGAGCTGATCATAACCCCGTCCTGCCCACAGGCACACAGAACCACAACGGGCAGAGCGTATTCAGTGTTGCTCCAGTTGAGGGACTCATGCATCCTGGGAAGGCTCAAGAATTCACTGTAACCTTCAGTCCAGACCATGAGAGCCTCTACTTCTCTGACCTGCTCCAAGTGGTGCTCTTTGAAAAGGTGGAGCTCATAGCAGGGCCCTCACAGATCCCATCTCACTCTGGGAGGGACTCCTGTGTGTCCCTCATCTGCCCCTAATGGAAGGTGTTTATTACCTGGCACCCCGTGTTGGAGGATGTCAGGCAGGGATCAGCATCCCTGGCTCTTCAGGTCCCACCCCTCAGCTCGCCTCAGTTCCCAATCGTCAGCCGCAGGGCAGTCTGCTATGCTTCTTGTCCCCAGACAGTCTCCCATCAGATCCTGCTGAAGGGTGCTGCCCGTGAGCACATGATGTTTGTGGAGGGAGGAGACCCACTGGATGTGCCTGTGGAGTCCCTGACAGTGATCCCTGCCTTGGACGCAGAACATAGAGAGGGTAAGCCCCCACAACGTGATTTCTGGCTCAGGGAAAGGGGAGGCAGGGATAACCTTGGGGAGCAGTGAGCGGGCCCTCCAGCACCCCAAGCCCAGTAGGAATGCATACTGAGGCCCATTGGAAGAGCAGATTTGCAGCCCATCAGCCCCAGAGCCAGGCAGGATGATCTCTACCGAGAAGATTGCTCTGAGAGGTTCCAGCCTCACTCCCTAGCTCTGTTGTGCTGCCTATCCCTGACAGCTCCCCTCACTGCCTGACCCTGGTCAGCTCCCTCCCTCCCCAGCCACATCTTCCCTCTTAACCACTTCTCAGCTAGATCTCCCTCTCCAGAAGCTGAGGAGATAAAACCCATTCTGGTGACCTTGAACTATGTCCAGTTTGACACAGACACACCAATCCCACCTGCCACCCGAGAGCTGCAAGTGGGCTGTATCCGGACTACCCAGCCATCACCAAGGAAGGTGATTACAACCCTAGCTTGCGTTAAACCCCAGAAGCCTCCTTGGCCTCCCTGGCCTCTCCTGGACTTGTGCAGGATGTTTGCAGCAGATGTGGGGTGGCAGCCCTGATCAGAGCTGAGGGGTAGGTAAAGTTGGGCACACTCATCTCTCGAGTACCTGATCCTCTAACTTCCAGTGGTCCAATGCCTTGCAGACTGTGGAGTTCAGCCTGGATGGTGTCACATGGCTGCAGCACAAGGGCTTCTCCATCGAGCCGTCCAGGGCTTCTGTGGAGCGTGGTCAGACCAAGACCATCAGCATCTCCTGGGTACCACCTGCTGACTTTGATGTAGGTGCTGGGACCCCAGGCTGGGCAGGAAGGGTTGGTGAAGTAGGCAGGGCACAGGGAATGAACAGATCTGTCTGGAAAGCCTACTGAGGAACGTCTCCTTCCAGCCGGACCATCCACTCATGGTGTCAACCCTGCTGCAGCTCCGGGGGGATGGAAAGGAAACCTACAAAGTCATCTTTGTAGCCCATGTGGTGGCTGGAATCTGAGGCCACAGGAACCCACAGAGCCTCTTGGACCCTCCCACCCACCCTTGTGGGCCGGGTCAACCCATTCCCCTAGGTCTGGAACCTGGGCATTTCCTGCTGGGCAGGTTCAAATGAACAGTCCCAGAGACAGAGCTCCCCAGCCCTACAGACATGGCTACTTCCTGCTGCCCTGAGAACAACAAGACCTCCCCCCCCACCCCGCCATACACACAAACCAAGAAATACTAATCCATCCTCACACAGCCTGTTCCTAGATGCCCCACCCCCACCCCCAGATCCCAAACCCACCAGCATCTCCTCAGGCTTTAGAGATCCCAGGAGAAAGCGCAGGTCTATCAATAAACTCTAAGAACCAACAGTAAGTGTGCAGTGGTGAGGGTGGGGGGGCTGGCTAAGCACAAAGTAGGGTGGGAGGAGAGCTTGGAGGAAGCCTGACCCACTCTCCCTTCTCACAGACCCCAACCCACAAAACAGTGTTCTGCCTAGTAAGAACCTTCCAGAGGGTGCAGTCTTGCCAGATAGCTAGAAGGAGTTCACCCTGACTCAGTCACTGGAAAAGCCCTCCAGATCTAGATTACTGAGGTTAAGAGCATGCAGTTCAGGTGCTGTGGGGGTGCAAAGCCAGGGTTGAGCCTGGTCCAGACCTGGAAAGGTGCAGGGAGGAGAAGCGGAGGACAAGAGGTGTCAAAGTCCAGAGAAAGTCCCTTAAGTCTCCCAGCTCCTCCCAAGTCCCAGGAACCTAGATGATCCCACCCAAGGGATGGGCAGGCACAAAGGGGGCCCAGCTTGTGAGTTTGGGTTTACACTTGTCTGAAAAGAACAGACTTTGCCTTCCGGGCCCTAGCCCACCCAGCTGTACTCCTGCTCCAGCACCGCGCCAGTTCTTGCCCTCTGGAGCACAGCTTGTCGGATGCTTTCCATCAAGCTCACCCTCCTACCCGTGCAGCGTGACTACGCCCCATGGGGACAAGCCACCAAGAGAGCCTGCTTAGCCTTCCCCGGCCTGGCGGGGCCATGGGGTGATGGACCTGGGTGCTGTCCTTAGCCCTTGATACCTTGACGCCTGACGTCGCCCCTAAGGGAGCCAGCAACATTGACCTTAAAGCAGCGCTTTTTGGGGATTTCTGCTCAGTGACCTTGGAGGTACAGGGCCCCAGGCAGGCAACACTATCCTACCTAGGTCCTCTCTTCTCTGGACCCTAGGCTCTGATCTGGGCCTCCGGCTGCACTTTCTTCCTATTCTGGTGCTACGCCCTCCACCCCCCAGCATCAAGCACAGCTAAGGCAGAGCAAAGGAGGGAAATAAAACTGGAGAGAAGTTCATCGGTCTCTGTCAGAAAGGGCCCTTGATGGCAAGGCACAGGTCAGCTGTAGACAGAACCCTGAAGGGTAGAGCAGCCTGGCAGAGGACCTAGCCTGGAGGAGAAAAGATTAATAAGCTCCCCCAGGAAGAAGCAGCCACTTCAGCGGTAGAAGAAGCAGGCATTTCAGGTTGAGGGAGGAGTGCTGGAAAGTGGTCTGTTTGCAGCATCTCGGTAGCCCGAAGCCAGGGGCTGGCTCCAGATGTATCCACGTGGAAGATGCATAGCAAGTGTCCTTGAGTGGCGGTTTGGAAAGCTAAACCCCAGTTTATTGACGGTGTAGACCCCACCCCTTTTACCTAGAGGATTGTGCAATATGAGGATGGGTTCTACTTGTCCTAAAAGGCCACAAACCAACGCAGCCCATAAGTTTCAGGAGACCTGGTTTGTGAATGGGGATGGGGAAATGGCGGATAGGGGTGGCTGGGTGAGGGGTCAGTATGATACAAGAGAGACTCGTGTCCCATGCCCAGAGCAAGACCTGCTCTATTCCCTCGTAGGGCTCACGTTGGTCCTTGAAGACGCAGAGAGGGGTGGTGGGTGTGTGTGTGCGCGCGCGCGCTCGCGTGCGCGCGCTCTCCAGGATAGTAACCTCTAGGGACAGAAAAATGGAGGGCCGGGAGCAAGGAGGGAAGCACACCAAGGTGGGCGTGATCCTGGACCTTCAGCTGACAAGGCCCGGGGCGGGGCCTCGCCAAGCTGAGCGGACGTTGGACTGAGTTACGCTGTGTCTGCGGAACATGGCCCCCGGGCCGCCAGTCACACAGGGGCTCTTGCTGCTGCTGCCTCTCCTGCCGCTGTCGCAGGTGGGTTGGGTTTATGGCAAGTGGGGCGGCCCTGAGTTGGGCCCCGCCCCGCTCAGGCTCACCCGTCTACCCACAGGTGACGCTGGGTTCCGCGGACGGCAACTGTGACCCCTCGGACCAGTAAGTGGCTGGGGACGGGGGAGGAGGGAAGCGGGGGAGGGAAGAGGTGGGGGTGAAGGCGGGGAGAGACCGAGCCCGGCCCACGCGCTGGGAAAGGCTGGAGCAGTGGAGTGAGCTAGCAGATACCCCACCTGCTCCAGGTGCCGCTGTCCCCGCAGGTGCCCGCCCCAGGCCCGCTGGAGCAGCCTATGGCATGTGGGGTAAGTAGAAGCCGAGGTGCCAAGCCTCTGGTCCGATGGTTCCTCTGAAGCTAGGCTAGGCAGGCCAGACCCCTTCCATCTACTGCCCCAAACTCCCTGGATGCTGTTTGTTTGAAGAGCTCTTGAGCCCCAGGCAGCCTTGGAAGCACGACCTGATTATAGTCGGCAGAAGGCACAAGGATTGTGCAGTTGTCTGGGGACAGTGTGTCCTGGGAATGAACCCAAGGACACCTCTGTCCAGCCCTAGAGAGCCAGCCAGGGCAGACTGCTCCTCGAGCCTGGATCTAGCCAAAGAAGTTTCTGGCATGGAGAGACTTGCTAGCTTGCTTTTCACCTGTCTTGGGTGGTTGGGCATGACTGGCCCCAGGGTACAACTGTGCGGTCAGTCCCTACTCTTCTTTTCTAGGCTTATCCTGCTTGCCATATTCCTGATGCTTCTGTGTGGGGTCACGGCCAGCTGTGTACGGTTCTGCTGTCTCAGGAAGCAGCCGCACACCCAGACACACATGCCACCAGCATGGCAGCCCTGTGACCTGACAGTCATCCCTGTGGACAGTGACAGCCCCGCACACAGCACTGTAACCTGTGAGTGGCAGGGGACTCACTAGCCACCACGGGGGTGGTGGACACTGGGGTGAATGCCGAGCCATCTCCACAAACCCACTCTTGTTTCCTGCAGCCTACAGTTCCGTGCAGTACCCACTGGGCATGCGGTTGCCCCTGTCCTTTGGGGAGCCAGACCCTGACTCCATGGTCCCTCCCACCTACAGCTTATATGCTTCCGAGCTGCCACCCTCCTATGATGAGGTTGTGAAGATGACAAAGGCCAGAGAGGAAGCAGTGGCTCCCTCTGGGAAACGTAACTCTCTGCCTGAGGCCTTGGGGCTAGAGACTACTCCAGGGCATCAAGAGCCAGGCCCCAGTGCCCAGCAGCCCTAGCTGTGGCCCTTTGAAAAGGGTAGGAGTTCTTTCTTCTGGAGCCATCAGACCATAGCCTGGATCTGGCACTTAGAACCAAGGACCCCCACCTGTGCCATCCTTCCCCTGGGAAGGCCAGCCATCCAGCACATTGCTGCAGACTCATTGCTATGCAATGCCGGGCCAGCCAGCCTGCCCTGGATTGGCCCCTCCTCCTTACCCCTCCCACCCATCAGTGCCCAGCAGACCCTCAGCCCAGAGGAGCCTGAACCTTGAGAGCTCAAGAGACTGGCAAATCAGTCCTTTGAAGAGAGAATAAAGTTTATGTGAACGTGGTCTCTGTCTTTGTGGAGAAACGACTCTAGCGCCCCCAGGGGTCCAGAGGGCCTGTCAGTGTAGACAGACAGGGCTAGTGGGGGTTCATTTACTCCTTCTGCTGGTGTTCAGAGCCCAGATCTGGACAGCGGGAAAGGCCAAGATCAGAGCGAAATGATCTGAACTATGTGTCCAGGACTGTCCACATATCCTTCTTCAGGCCCAACTCCTTCAAGTCAGGACAGTGAGAAACAGCAGAGTCTGGCTGGAACATTCCATAGATGCAGAGCTGTAGGCAGGGAGGGTGGCAGTGGGCAGCTGATTGCCCGGGCAGACCTCCCACTGACAAGCAACTATGTTACCGGACCAACCTGGCAGACTTTCCTGCCAACTGGCTATAAATCTGGGGGTTGACGGGCAGGTTAGCAGCCTTCCCGACCCAGATGTTTGTTTCCCAGGCTGGTCCATTGCTCACCTTCACAGACAGTAGTTCCGACCCCATCCTGGTCAGTCTCCTTGACTCAGTCTTCGTTTTACTGCGGGTCCCACATCCATTCATGAGCACATACCTGCCAGGGTCTCACACTCACCCATCATCTGCTGATGTCTTTATGGACTGCCCATTTATTCAGGCACCACCAATCTGTAGGCCTAAGGCCTTCTTCACGTATATTCTGGTGTCCTTGTCAAAGCTGCCCTTAGCTGTGGGCTTCCTCATAGTAAGTCCCCATCGGCATCAGGGAGCCATTGCAGTTAAAGAACCCTTTGTCTGCAAAGAATTTTACTGGTCCAGGAACCGAGTTAGAGCTAGGCTAGACTCACTCCTACCCTTTCCCCTCTAGCTGCTTCTCCCTCCCCACTCACGTGCACAGGTGATCATTGCACAGGTGACCAAGGCCCAAGGCTGCTCCCACACCCCACACACCCTGCCAGCCTCGCTCTTGGTGAAGCTGATTCCCAGCAGGCTCACGAGGGGCTCTCACTCTCCAGGCTTCACCTCTCCATTGCCCTCCTCCTCTAACATCGAACAGACACCCTTGTGTTCCTTAATCTGCTCCGCTGAGCCGGGCAGTGGTGGCGCACGCCTTTAATTCCAGCTCTCAGGAGGCAGAGCTAGGTGAATCTTTGTGAGTTTGAACTACAAGAGCTAGTTCCAGGACAGACAAGAGCTCCGTCTGTACAGTCTGTAGGGACACACACAGGTTCCCCAGGAGCTCCCCGTTGCCTTCCTGTCCAGGGGAGGGTAGGAAGTAATACTATCTACTTGGCTACCCTTTGGGGGACATAATTTAAAAGGAGGCCCTAATGTGGAAAAGGCATTCAAGAGCAAGGCGTTGTGTGATGAGCCAGAGGAAGGCGATCGGGTAGGCACACAAGAGCCAGGTAGGGCACAGGCCAGCCTTGTGAGGGACTAAGTCTATGTGACAGACCCTGGGGCCAAAGCAGAAAGAAGACAGCAGATGAGACACGGGAATCCAGCGTGAGGAGACACCCAGTGAGGTCATGGTCAAGGTTCCAGGTAATGGCATCCCTGCCAGCAGGCCACAGGACTAGGAAGACATCCTAGGGAAGAGTATTCCAAGGCACAGCTCAGCATCCAACCCTCACCTCTGCACATCCTTGAAGCAGCAGATCCCCGTGAAAGCCTTCAGAAAGGGATGCTCCACCCTGAGCCTGGTGAAGGAAGGCTACACCTCAGGCTCCCGAGAAGCCCTCACCCTTCGGGTGAATTCTCTGCCTGCAGGCCCTCCCCAGATTCCCACCCCATCCAGGTAGCCCAGCAAAGTTCCACTGGGTGCTGAAACCACCACTGAAGTGACTCCAAGCTGCTTTGGGTAGAACATGCAGAACAGTGGTCCAGCCATGTTTTATCTATGCTCAGCTACCCAGGTCTCCTGGGTACAAGATACAGATTCCAAAGTCTTTTAGGGGTAGGAAATCCTGGTGGCCTTATTTCAGGATAGGTTCAATCTTCCCTACAGGGGCCCTTTCCTGAGCCGTCTCAGGCGGGCATCCCCTACCCCTGAAGATGAGTGCTAAGGGTCAGGAGCAGAGGGGCAGAGACAGGCTGCACCGGCTGTTCCCTTCTTGTGATCAAACTGTGTCCCCACACATGTGAGTGCGCACACACGCACACACTAATGAATAGATAAGTAAAATTTTAAAATGTCATAATTATTTATTTTTAAGTTCAGAGCTGAGGAGATGGTTCAATGGATTAAGAGCACCAAGGTTCTGCTTCAGGGACCTTCACTGAAGGTGGTCACTTACTTGTGAAACTTCTTGCAAGAGGCCCAGACTAACCAGCTAGTTCCGCGTTTGCCTTGGTCTGGCGGCTCTCCCATACTCATGGACCCGGTTCAGATCCCGCTGCCAACACTTGGCAGAATGGCTGAGCAAGTGGCTTAGAGATCCCAGACACCCTGCACAGATGGGGCTGAGTCCCCAGCTTAGAGAAAAACATGGGCACAGAGGCTGGCAAGTTTCCTCCAGGCAATTGGGGGCTAATTGGGGGTTTCTTGGGAAACCTGACGTCCCTTCCACTCAAAACAGCAACGCCAACTCCTAGGGAGTAGCAGGGTACCACAGAAACATTCACTCTGTGCCCACTTACACATTTGAGGTTTTTTTTTCTTCAAATGGTCCTGGACAGACAGGCCTCAGGAGATATCTCCCAATCAGATTTGATGTTTATCAATTTTGAAGAGAACCATATCTTTTTGTTTCGTGTGGAAACAGAGGCATAACCCATCCCCCAATGCATTGTCCAACTTCTATTTTAAGCCAAGACACCCCTAAAGTATCTGGGCTGGTTTACTTTAGCAGGCCCTTCCACATGCCAATGCCATTAGCTTTCAAAAAATTCAAAATTGCCAGGCAGCGGTGATGCACACCTTTAACCCCAGCACTCAGGAAGCAAAGGCAGGTGGATCTCTGTGAGTTCGAGGTCAGACTGGACTACAGAGTGAGTACCAGGACAGGCTCCAAAACTACAGAGAAACCCTGTCTTGAAAAACAAAACAAAACAAAAATTAAAAGTTAACAAAGCACCACGTAAGGCCCAAATTCCCTGTGTTATATTATTTTCCATCCTTACGTGGCTTATGTTTTCATATTACTTTATTTTCTCTTTAAAATATTTAATTTTTTATATGACCTTCTATATCCGTTTTCTTTTTTTTTTTTTCTTTTAGCGTCTAAGCACATTTTAAAGCATGTCTGCCTGTTGAGAGGTTTTTTTGTCCTGTCTGAATCTGTCTTTACTGAGCAACTGCAGTGTTCTCTGATAGCGTGACACAGTCTTAAACCAGACATGGCACGGGTGCACATCCCTGTGTGCTGCCAAGCACCAGCCTGCCTGAGAGACTGCAGGACTAGGAAGCTACATCCAGCTCCTTGTCCAGAGCTTTTCTTAGCTTTCTCAAGCCCTATGTTTGGATATTCAAGCCTCACACATTGGGGGCCATTTATAAGGAGTCTTTGTCCTGCCAGTCAACTCCCAAATAACAACACAGAGACTTATAATCATGAAAGCTCAGCCTAAGCTCAGGCTTGTCCCACTAGCTCTTACAACTTAAATTAACTCATTCAGCTTTTTATTTCCTTTTATTGTTTTATAACTTTAAGATTTCTTTATTTTATGTGAGTGCTCTATCTGCATGTATGACCTTATGTCAGAAGAGGGCATCAGATCCCACTATAGATGGTTGTGAGTCACCGTGTGGTTGCTGGGAATTGAACGCAGGACCTCTGGAAGAGAAGCCAGTGCTCTTAACCACTGAGCCATCTCTCCAGCTCCCAATCCAGCTTTTTATTACACCAATCACAGTGAAACATTTTCACACAGCTTACAAATATCCTACAACAGACCGTTGCTCACACTGTGAATAACAGACTCAGCTTTCCGCATCTTCTGACAGAGCTTGGTTGGCTACAGCCCTGATGCTCTGAATTCCTGGTGAATTCATGATTTACACTCAAACTTTCCTTCCCTGGAGCTGAGGACCTTCAACCTCTGCCCCTGCCCCCACACACAAAGTCATCAAGGCATGGGAGCCTAGGATAACCATCCAGTAAGTCTCAGTCACTTTAATTGACACAGAGACCATTTGGATTATAAGTTATCCTTCTCAGATCTGTGATGGTGTTGATGGGCTAACTGTAGCTTTACCAGTTTCACGGCCGCAGGGAAAGCAACTCCTCCTGCCTGGCCAGTCCATCTCATACGTAAAAATCAGGCCTCGGTTGTTTCTAGAGCTACCAGGTCTCCAGCTGAGGAAGGCAGACAGTTTACCTTGCTGGCAGACTTCACACTAAAAGACACACTATTCCTTTATTTAAAGGAACTTGCTTTGCAATGGTTGCTCTCAATAATCAATCATTTGTGCCTCGTGGTAAATGACTGGATAAAGGAAAAAGTTTAAAGTTTCTGCCGCGAGGGTCTGTGAGAGCGGTTTAGAGCACATAGAGCAAGTTGTGAAGGCCTAAGAAGGTGATTTAAGGTAATTAAACAACAAAACCTGTTTCAGATTTCTTTTCTTCTTGCTACTTCAAAGGTTCAATTTTGACATTAATCAGTGGAGTTCTTATAAGCCCTATAAAGCCCTGACTACTATTATCATAAGTACAAAACTTTAAATTTCCTTGGTTGTCTTCTAAGTACAGACTTAAAAGTACTTCTCAGTCATGCTAAGAACATCTCTGTACATCCAACCCTTTGGAAAGGGTGTTCCTGCTTTGAACCGAGAGTCCTCTTTCGGGTCCTCAAGCTTTTCTAGGACTCAAAGACTCGAGTCTGCTGCTGCTTCTACATTGTGGATTTCAGTGCAGATTACGAACAACGGTGATGCTAATGTGTCTAAAACTTCTATCCCTTTCTGTGAACTGGAAAAATTCATGTAAGCTTCAGGGAGTTCTGAGACTTGGAGCCATCTGTCACAGATCAAATGAACTCCAGATAAGTACTCCTGTCAATCAACAGCCTAAGTTACCCTGCCTACTGCCTGTCCTCTGGTCTTGG